CTTCTTCTGCGTGCCGTTCCGACTGGTTTGACCAAATCGTAGCTCGAGATACGTTGGTCGACGGCCCCGACATTGTGGTGGATATTTTTCTGGCTAGCTTCGGATTGTCTGTCGGGATGTAATTGTCGATTCGTTCGTTTTTTTGGTGGTAGTCGACATTGTCTCGCGAAGAAATTCCAGCCTCAACGTCTGCGCATCTGGTTGGATGGGCCCTATTCTCGGTTCGTTCTCTGGTCGGGGCTCTTTTTGTATCACCTTCCATCACAACATGTCCGGCAATACACAGTCGTGTTCATTCAGAATAAAGTAACTCAGGCTATGCGATCTCGGTTCACCAGTCGGTAATCCTGCCACAAGACGCTTGTGTAATCACGTACCTGCAAGATTAACTGATGGTTAATGTAACGGAATTACGGTACCTGATTGTGAACAAATCGCGATAGATAAGACCCAATGTTCCGAAATAGAGTGGACGAGCTAGCTGGAAATCGTATTGAAACTGGGATTGTTTCCATGACTTCTTTTTGACCTTGATCACATTAATTGTAGAAAGGGTAACAGCTGTTGTTCCAGTCCAAGAACCACTACCTGATCTAGCCAGCTTCGGAGAGGCACTTCATTGCAATACCAAAAGCGTCTCACCACGCGACTAAAGTAGCTTAATACGCAGAATCAAATCAACTGTTAAATGCAACAAGAATTAGTTTGAAGGACTTGACACTGAACGGACTGGAAGGGGTTGAACTGCAAACTAAACGCTCCGTAGATGTGCCTTGTTTATTTATTTTTGCAACCGTTTATCACTTAAATAGAATAAGGAAATGGATGGATTTTATGCACTAACTTAGATAAATATCCTATCGTAATATTATTCGGTAATATTATCTTTCTAATAAAACGGATTCTAATCTTTTCATTACATAGAAACTTAGTCCCTCGAACATTTTTCTAATAGTCCATCCATATTTATGTTATATTTTCAGTTTATGTTTCACAATTATGTACATAATGTATGTGAAAATGATCTTCTGGCTTTTTTACACAGGCGCTTACAGGTAAGGTATAAGTTTTTGTTAGTTGCTTCTTCGGTGTATTTTTCATCGTTTTAAAGCCAGTGATTAGCGGTGTATATGGAGAAGGGAAAATCTGTTGGCGCTTGGTGAAACGGGTACTGGTTACCGCTAGCCTGGAGCAGATAGAGATCTGTATAGCACTACCGTTACTATTTATGATTGGTATAAGTGCTACTTTGGGGTAGCTTCAAACGGACATGGGTTTTTTCCTGTTCAGCGCTGTCCCCTGGAATATTTCCTTCCTAGGACTGATCATGATGGTCACCTGTTTGGTTTAGTTTGCCTTTTGCTATTTCTCTCTCCATCGTGCGTGGTTATGGTATAGAACGTTGCTCTTTGTTTAAATTATCTCTGTTCTTTGCTTTGCACGTTCTATTTCGAGGATTTGGTTGGTTTGGTGAGTGGATGGTGATGCATGCAACGTGCAATGCGTGTAACTTTCAACTGATGAGTTATTGAATATGCATTTCATTGTGACATGTGAATCGCGAAACATTACTATTCCAAGTGCTGTTTTGATAAGTGAATCCTGATGAATAAACAATGTGTGAAACAAAAGATAAATTCAACGGTTGTAATGATTCGCTGATAACGTGACTAAGTAAGATTGAATCGAAAGTTCATAATCACTTTTTTCGCTATACCACCGTTTATTTTTGGTAAACTCGCATCCACTTCACCGAACTGAAAGTAAAAGAATTCCAGCTCCGCAAAATGGAGATTCATCTTCCGAAATTACAGCTGGAGGTTATATGTATAGACAGACTGAAAGAACAAGAGTAAATAGAAGACCGTCAGAATAGATCGAACGTATGGTTTTGGTGATAGTGACAGAGCGATGCAGATTCTTGCCATACATAAACTAGCATTTCAAATCTATTCCGGCAGAGACATACTTCATTTTTAAATTATGGTACCTGAACGATCAACCAAATGTTGATAGTCTTGTAAGTACCTCATTGAAAGTATGCTGCGCAAATGCCTTGTGGAAATTCATCTGGGAACACCAAATGTATGATTCATAAATTTGATCTGACAAAATGAATGCAACCTCTAGTTGGATGGAAAGACGGGAACTTCGGGGACAAAGACACACACGTTACTTATTGCGTGATATTGTCGGAGGAGTGCGATCGCACAAAATGAACTCAACGTTTCTTCCTGTCCCTGATGAAGTTCAGTGGAAAATCTCTCTTCAATGAAACCAACAAACGACCTCACAAATCTGCCGATAAAATAAGCCATCTTAAGCGGTGCTTGCGTCAGTGATAATCTCGAAAATGACTTAACTTAATCTCATTACTAAAATTTCAGAAAACCAAGATGCAAAAAATGAATATTTGGATTGATTTTTAATTTGTTATTAAGGAAAACCCATAAGAACGTATATTTCAATCGTAGGAAAGTATTTTTTCCATCGTCCCTTGAAGTGCGCATTATAATCATAGACTTCAAAATCGGAGCTTGTGCGACATTGCCATCGAAGCATGCAGTTGGCCCGAACATTCTCTCTCTGAGAGAATTTTGAAGAATTGAAGCTAAAGCTTTGCTTTGGTCAAGAGCACACTAATGTGTTCCTCGTAAATAAAACATCCCCATAGGTCTCTCATCCCAAGTTCCTTTGAATTACGTGATTAATAAGCGATTAGACCTGGCAATCGTCAATTGTCATCACATTGTACCGAACACAGGCAGCACACGTCAGTGCAGGTGCACGTTTTCGTGGGCGGGAGGACACTACAGCAGACAGCTGCTATGCTCTCAATAGCCCTCTGTTCTCGTTTCAAGGAGAAGATATCACAAAGGCTTTGTCATAGGAACCAGGGAAAATTTCCTGTTAGAATGTCTTTTATCACAAAGTGTGATGCTCAATATTTAAACGCAAAAATTCTGCATAGGGATAGAAGTCTGTTCGATTTTCCTAAAGATAATCGAGTAATAGTGGTAGTAATTTTCCGGAATTCATGGTTTCTGAGAATAACTTAGTGGCAGATAGAAATTCATCTAGATTTTACGGCAGACGTGCAACACAATTCATAGGTTTATGCTTTCAAATTAATTTAATTTCCGCAGTATACCTAATGCAAGATTTCTAATGAAATAGGCATTTCGTCTTATCCACATGACAGAGGCAATTTCCGCAAAATGCTTTACATTGAGTAGCATTCAATACATTCCGGCTCATAGGCAATTACTCAGCTCTGAATACACGATAAATTGCTTCAAAATGTAATCAACACAGGCAAGCACTGTTATAAGCGATATGATCACCGACTGGAACATGAACTTATTCACTCCCTTAAATAGTGCAGTGCATTTCCATACATAAAAGTCTATCGTGGAAAGACAATATTGAGTTTTCTCGATACTCTCCTTAGATTATAAAACTGATCATTTAGTTTGGTTCCCACGTCAAACACTTACTGACGAGAGGGTGACGCATAAACATTCAAGAGATTGATCCATTGAAATGTAGTGGTTTTGATTCAGCCAGTTACAAGAGACTGCTTAGTATATTTTTGGTGATGTCAGTTGCCTCTTATCTTGTCTTTTTAAGGGAAAATATATCTGATAAAGGTAAATATCGCTTTCATTGTAACTCACACGTGATGTAAACGGTTCTTTAAGATACGCCCAGCGTAACGTGGTGCTTACTTCCCGTGGTTTGGTATGTTATTCATTTCACCCCCTGTGCCCAAATGTCACGACACAAACTGGTATTTGCAGCGCAGCAGTAGGCTTTTACTATGAAGTGAAGAATCAAGGAATCTACTGAACAAGACAAGTTGCGTTGATAACAATATGTATCAGGCTATTTCTGGTGAATTTCACTTCTGGCGAAATCCATATTTAATTGTATGCTTCAAAGAGATTTATTAAAAGTTTACTATTTCATTGACATGTAACTGTTATTCAAGGAACAAGAAAGATTTTATACACCATGATCAAGCTGTCACTGAGTTTGGATACCTGCATTAACGTGTAGGGTTTACCTAATAATCTGTTCATTTGGACTTGTCTTTCAAATACCTTATACATAATTGAAGTGCACCATTTAAATCTATAAACCATTGTACTGCTCTATCGACTGGTCGAAACATGTATTTAGAAGAAAGTAAGGATAAGAAAATCATAGTGATTCCGCAAATTTTATGAGATCGTGAATCCGAATTTTCTTTACGAAACCAATGAAGTGATAATGTGATCACTTGTCTCAGTGAGCTACCGATCCAAGAACATGCATAACTCCACAAATAAGTGTGGGCATTCGATTAAAGTATGATGGAGTATTATTTTTAGATGAAACCAGAACATTTCTCTATAATATTTATTCCTATCAAAATCCTCAAAATTCAATGCATAGCGGCGTATCGGTACCCTCCGTGTTGCTAAGTTTGGTTTACGTGTTTTCGGCGATTCACGCCACCGATTTGGTTGGGAATTTTTCAAAACATGAGTGCAAAGGCGTAAAGTATAAACTCCTAATCACAGCTCATTCGGAAACCGAGGTCAACTTGGGTTCCAGTTGTTTTACAGTGCATTTTTTTTACAATTCATAACAGAGTACTTGATGCTGATTGTGATTTTCCGTTTTAAGCAACTCCCCCCCCTCCATGAACTCTGTCTGCTTAGTTCGAGAGGATATCACAATAAGCGAAAACCGATTTATTCCGATTCTTATTCTCCCGATAAATTTACACAAGAAGTAAGTTAACCGATCAAAGGATTGAATGTAAACTTACTATTGTAGAATATTAAATTAGCAAAATAAAATTGCCTACCACTTCCGCTTACACGAAGAAAAATGATCGTCAGTACTGAACCCCAGTGTAACGGAATCTAGTCGTTTTATACGTAACTTCCAGAGTGAAGAACACACATATAAACTGGATCGGCTCTAATTTTTATTGCCTTTCAACCGTTTAGATACAATTTTTTGCAAAGGCCAATTGTCCTGTTCAATTCGGTGAAGAAGGTGTACTGTTTGTCAATCGCCGTGATGGACGGGCTACCGGAGATGCGTTTGTAATTTTCGAATCGCAAGCTGTGGCCGAGGAAGCGTTGAAAAGCCATCGGCAACATATTGGTAACCGATATATAGAGCTTTTCAAATCTACTCCGGCTGAAGTGAACCAGGTGAGACCAGTTTTCATCTCCGAAAATGTGATTGTGAAATAGAGATATTTGGTGAGCAATACAACCCAAAGGCACGTGTCGAGAATCAGAATGCTTGTTCCAAGTCTGCCACCTGCAAGAGCACAATAGCAATGGTATCTCATACAGTAGGCATATGTTCATTCAGACTGCATCAAGCTTTGCACGCAGTTAACTAGATGCGCAGTAGGGTATACCATACCCCATGGTTACGTAATTCGGTCATACTCATTAAAACAAATACTATTTTTTCATTGTTCTTGGATAGCATTATCACACATTGTGAGAGGAACAGCAGAAAAAAGCATCTTATTGGTAATTCATTCACTGGATAATAGATAAAAGTTTACCGCATCTTTGTTTGAAATGATTCGTTACAGAGTGAGAAAAAAGATTACAGTTCAGTTGTATGACCAGATGTTGTTCACCCTATGGTCCTCACACAGAAATTGGTATGGGTCATTGTGTGAAAGCGACTGCATCGAGTATGATGATGACCGTGGGCGACCGAATATTCTTATAAATTAAAAATGGTTTGATCAGCTGCCCGGTGTCCGACTGGGTAATATGCTTGTGTTCTACTTGCAAGGTCCCGGATTCTATCCCCAGTTGGGTTGACGGATTAGCACTGCTGATAATACCCAACCAGACTGTAACAGCTGTCTAGTAATTCCTAGCTTTTCACCACACAAATCATTTACACGACGAATTCCTCATGTAGTCAAATCAAACCCTCCGTTCCTCTCATATAATGAGTAGTGTTTTAGTTAGATAATGAGTGACGCCTCAAAATGTTGTAACCGAGTGGTTCTTGGTAGCCGTTAGGAGGGAAAACATCATGAAATCCGAATCCGGATTCTGTTTATTCCAATGACGCAAAGCTTTTGAAATGAATTAATCGATTATTATTGGATGGCTTCTTGAGGTAGATACTCTTCGGTTGTTCTAACAGGACAACAAAAATTTGGATCCTAATTGAAGCACTTCAGGCAACTTCCCATCCGATCTGAAAGATGAACGACTATGAACACATTTGTCACAGTTCCAACCGTTTGTCTATAACAGATTGCGCAACAGATTTCGAAAAATAAAGGTTCCTCGAGTGTTAACACCTTAGGCATACAAGCACTTCGAAAATAATTCCGATTCAGTTCTTCAGAGACCTTTATTATTCTATCTCTTCAACTGAGAAAAAGATGTTCGCCTTATTGATTTCTTTTCAATCTGTAATGAACCTTCTTCAAAAATTACGGGATATATTGTGATGTATTTGCCAGTCAATCAATGACCGAACACGAGCTTGTTCGCTACTTTGTGCCTGTCTACAAGAATAACTTCATTATTATCATGTGACAATGGATAACTTGAAGTAGGCACGCACTTTCCGTTGCTTCTCGTGCGTCTACAAAGGTACCTTCGTTTCTTATCTCCTAATATTCTTGGTTCAATGAACCATCATCATTATAAAGCCTATTAGGTATTCACTGGTGGTAACTAGTGATTACTAACTTTGTCGCTTTCATCCGATCTTCAGATGACCTTACACATTTGCAGATTAGGTGAAATAAGACGCGTTAGGCTGCCTTGGGAGCAAGTTCTTCATGTCAAAACCGGATCGATGGCTATCTTTGAGCCATTCGGGGTTTATGTGTTTTTATCTGGTTCTTATGTGATTAAGACTCCTCAGATTTCAATTCCAGTGTCGTTTTCTTGACTGATTTAACCCCAAAATCGCTGAAGATCATCTAATTCTGAAACTGTTTTTCTGCTTGTCACTCATACAGTAAATTCCACACATCGGATCCGGAACCGAGGCCACGTTATGTAGCGGTCCCGGCTCATTTCAACACCATATTTGCTAGAAGTCCCAAATTATATCAAATTCGCTTGTAATAGCCACCAAATACAACTCCCCTTGCCGACAAACCATTAACAGTGCGTATTATATTATCTCTCAACCGGGACTGAACCTCCGGTTCCGGAACTGACGTTTCTATTCTCTGAGGCACATTGGAGATGGTAGATATAGAGTAGATAGTTTCAAAGATCGGACAATTTTATTCCGTCTTCCCTGAGGAATTTGCAGACAGATTACTGACACCACAGACTCTGTAAAATCATATAGACAATGCAAATGAAAAGTCATATTGTGTCATTTAAATGATATTCAGTTGTAAAAAGGACTTTCGTTCCTGAAAATTGTGACAAGTTTACCAAACGTTGGATGCGCTGGAGGACTTCCTGCCTGTGTGCGTGTGTTTATCACATTATTTTCAACAAATTAAATGTCGTTTTACATTCCAAATTTATATTTCTATTTAAATTTAGAATTAAGTTGAAAATTTTTGATGTACCTGTTATTCTCCATGTGATGGTCAACTACAATGGCCTCGAGTGTATGCACACTCAGTTATCTGAAAATTTTCTGATGAAGAGCCTGCCAGTTGTTTTGAAACCAAAAGAGTTTCGTTCATTAGAATAACTTTGATGTGAGAAAACATTTAAGGAGATATTCAATCACTTTCCAGATTCCCCGTCCAGGATTCTAAAAATTCTATTGATTGTCAGCTTTTGGCTGCGGTGAAAATCACTTTTTTGAACGTTACAAAAAGAGAACCGATTCGAGGGCAAAGATGAATTCATAGTTTTTTTTGAGCTTGTAATTCTCTATCAGGTATCCAAAAGAGATATTGGAGTAATTTGTATAGGAATTTTATCTCTTGGATATTTGAATTTTAGAAGCAATAAAATAGCTCCTGTCTATAAAATCACGAAATCAGCTAACTAATGAATAAAGAAGTAGGTGGTATACGAGAACCAACGTTTGTAGATATATTGTGCAAAATCTTTTACAATGTGAATTTTAACTTTTTCTGTTTCCAAAGGTCATGAATGCTGTTCTGAATCCACCAGAATCGTTAACAACCAACTGGAACGGTCTTGCATTAGACGTTGAATCTGCCCTCAATGCAGCTGCTGCTATGGCAGCTGGCTCGTTGATTGACTTAGCGGGCACCCCGAATTCGGTTGAATATTCTAACAACCTTGAACATCAACCCAATACAGACCTTCTTTCACATTTCACCTTCAATTTGTCACCACAAGCTCTTGGCCTCGGATGCCAGTTGCTTGGTCCTGGTCCATCATTCCATCCTTTTACCGGATCTGGGAACGTTTTAGTACCCTCCTACTATCAACCTTCCAATTTCGGGTCGATGCCAGTGTCCAATATAGACCCTATGTTTTACTCGACCGACCACCTGCCATCGTTTAACCACATTCAAGCAAACTCGGTATTGTTGTCCACGGATTCGGGAACGAACAACTTGAGTTCGTTTGCCTACCCTGTGCCGCTAGTCAGTTTGTCAACACCTTCCGGTGTGACGCATACCACCACATCAATCACTGGCAGCCAACCGTCTGTTTGGCCATATTCCGGTCAGACTAACCAATGGGCGCAGTGGGCCGCGGGCGGGTTGAACCTACCCATGGATCATTTGGCGAAATATTTCATTCGTATCAAGGGGATGCCACTAGACACCGATATTTTAGACATACTGGCTTTCTTGGAGGACAGTTGGCGAAATGTGGCTTTGCATGGTGTGCACCGAGTTTACAATATTCTGGTAAGAAACTTTCAATTCAGTTGAAATACGCACACAATCGATTCCAGTTTTCATTGTTTTTTCCTCGGAAAGAAATCTCTTAAACGTTTAGTTTTATGATTAAAGACGAAAAATCAAATGAAAACTCCTATTCACTTATGGCACTGAACTGCAACCGTTTCAACGGACATTGATAACACGTGGCGTCAACTTGATTATCTCCAAACTTGGGGGAACTTCTTAGATCATTTTATGTCGTGTTGGTTTCAATAAAACCCTATTCTGTCTTCGTGTGAGGGAATTTGATATTGTTTGACATTGCAAAATCGAACCAATGAATTTTGTTCGGAATTTCCTGAAAGTAATTATCTTATTGAATATCCTACGGATAGCCCATGAATGTGAGGAAATAATTGCGATTAGTACTCACCCGAAATAATAGCTTACTTCCGGTTAGTTCATCATATCAGTAACCAGTGAGTTTCTCGCATCTAGTCTTCTGCTACGTTACCCCGACGCTAAATGTATCCGCCTAACAATCAACAAAAAATGAG